GAGAGAGAGAGAGAGAGAGAGAGAGAGAGAGAACAACTTTAGGGTTCCAGGGATCCAACTCGGGTTGCCAGCTTGTGCCTGGTGTTCACCCTCTGAACCATCTCTGACACGCATATTACTTTTTTTTAAAAAAAAACTGATGTGATGTTTGACCATAAATAGATAATTCTGAATGTTAATAACTGCTGTGTGTTGTTAGCCTTTTCTTAGGCATACTGCTGTATATCCCGATTACTTTTTGTCTCACTTGGGATCCCTAGTTTAGAACTGTTTAAAGCACCACCACTACCTTTGTCACAGGTGTTTGCTTTTAGGAAATTTGTCCTCTAGATTCCTTGACGGTAGGATGGAAACCTGGGACTAAAAGGTACATGGGGGCTGGAGAGGTGTCTCACCGATGAAGAGAGCACACTGCTCTTCCAGAGGCTGGGGGTTCAATTCCAGCGCTCCGGCCAGGCATCTTACAATGGCCGGTAACTCCAGCTTCAAGGAGAGCTGGCACCTCTGGCATCCGGGGCATCCATGCTCTCTGCACATACCCACACACAGATGCACACACATGTACATAATTAAAAATCAAGTTTAAAACAGATGGCACATGGGGCACCTGGAGATGGCCGCAGCCCCTCTGTCCTAACAATCGGGATGCACTAGTTATGGGGCTGTCGTAGGATGGGGTACTGCGAAGCATTCCAAGTACAGATCTCAAATGTATACAAGCCAAAGAAGCAAAGCTCAGGACAGGTTCCCCTAAAGGCCACGCTCTTTAAGGTACTTAATGGGCGTGCGTGCAGGGCAGGCCTTGCGCTCTCTGACTCAAGCTGAGCTGTCAGAAGTTGAATGTCGTAGCTGGCGGCCAGACAGACAGACAGACAGGGCCTTCTGCTCTCAGGCCCTCGCTGGGGTCGTGGACAGAACTGACTGCTGGTGTTGGGAACCTGAGTCCATAGCAGGAGAGGCCTCACTGGTTCACGGTTCTTCCGAGGTCCTCGGTGTGTGGCACCTTGCAAGGGCTTGAGATTCTGGGGTCAAACAACTGGTGGGACTTACAGAGAAAGAACGGAAGCCACGCTCCACAGCCAGAGAGCAGCTCGGGGGTGCCGGTGCAAGCCCCTCTTCACGGGGAACATTCCAGGAAAGGCTGGGTAGGAGAGGCTGTCTAACCCACACCGAGCGCAGGGCGGGCCTGAGTGTCCCTCAGGGTCCTCCAAGCGCTGTGGGTAGCGCGGCGCTAGCTGTTGTCTCCACTCGGCACACATGGCTCCACTCCCCGAGGCCTGTCATCGCTGTCCCTCTACAAACGAGGGACTGAGCTGGTGGTGCAGGAGCGCGCGGCTCCGGACGGCACAGAACGGAGCGAGCGGGACTCGGGCACCCGTTTCGTGGTCCCCACAGGCGGAGACAGCTGGTCTCTGGCCACCTCCCTGGAGCCAGTTTCTCAAAGCCAGCCGCGGAAAAGCACTGGCAGATGGGGGCTTGTCTTTCCAAGTGTAAACTCTCCCTTTGGAACCTTTTCCTTTCCCGGAGAGCTGGAATAGCACGAGCCTGGCTGCTGCCGGTCCTCACTCCCCTCAAAGCCCAGGAGCACTACTGATTTTCCCCAGCACCAAATCGTCTGGCCTCTGGGACCCCCAGAGGTGGTCCTCTCTCAGACCAGGCTGGAGTAATCCCATCCTGCCTTCAGCATCTTCTAAGATGTACTTCATCCAAGAAAATTGCTATAGGCCTTCAGAAAACAGATCCAGGGACCCTAAAGATACCAGAGCAAGTCTGCGGTCACTTCTGATCATAAGTGGCATGGACCCTCTAGGCCTCTGCCTCTCCCTGCTAACTGGTCCTGCTTCACTTGGCTTCTGGTCTCCTTGAAAGGACTGCTCTGCATTGTTTGTCTGGCCAGATGGGCATAGGAGCCCTCTACAGCCAGCTTGGAGCTCTCAACCGGCTAGCTCCTCCCAGAGACTCATCTTGCTTCCATAGTTCCTTCTAGGCTGGTCGGGTCCATGAAAGATGTGGTTTAAAAAAAAAAAGAAAAGAGGACCCGTGCACACACCTTTAATCCCAAGACTTGGGAGGCAGAGGCAGGTGGATCTCTGTGAATTCAAGGCCATCTCTGCTCTGCACAGCAAGTTCCAGGCCAGCTAAGGCTGCATATTGAGGATTTGCTTAAAAAAAAAAAAAAAAAAGAAACAAACAAACAAATGTGGCTGATGATTTTTCAGAAGGAGCATAGTGCGGTTTGTATTTTTTCTTAATCTTGGTGTAAGCCACAGTGCACCTTTCTCCTCCAAGAGTAGCTGGGCTCTGATGAGTCCATTTCTGTCCTTGCTCTGGTCCATCACAAGCTCTCTGCGGGAGCACTTCCTGCGGCCACCCCAGGGACTGCTCTAGGTTCTTCCTGCTTCGAGTCCCCTGTTGCCCCCTCAGGGCAGCTGGCAGGCTGCCTGGTACAGAGCTTGGGGGTAGTTGGGGACAGAAGGGCATGCTCAGGGGGAGGCCCTGCCTTCCCAGGAGGAAGAGAACAGCATGATTTAGACAGCTGGTCTTCGGCACCTTGGCGCTTCCGACGCAGAAATTATCCGACAGGCCGTGGCTCAGCTCTTCCTCACACACAAGGCTGAGTGCTGGCCACAGCGGACACCGGCTCCCCTTGCCCGAGCCATCTGCCTGCCCAGCGAGGCGAGCCTCTGATGCTGCCAAGAAAAGATTCCTTTGTTGACATCAGGGCATGAGCTGGGCCAGT